TGGTGAAAACCTGGAATAGCTGGTCTAACCATCACCCTGCACATTGCTGCCTGCCGGAGAGGCACTTTCCCCCCTCGGTGCGTCTCTCCTGTGCCCTGCATGGTCCCTGCGTTGCCTCCCTGTTTACCTACTCCTGTCCCTCCCTCTCCACTTCCACTCAGACTCTTTTCTCTTAAGTTCATCCCAGCTGACTAAATCTGCTTCAGTCCCCTGGGTTCTTTCAAGCAATGGTCATTGTTCTGAAAGAGGAAAGGTAGGAATGTAGTTTAGGAGAAACCGAAGAGGAAGAGGTTCTAGGAGGGGCCTTGAGGCATTTCCTTTGGATTTTGCCATGAAGAGGGTGTGGAAGTCCTTGATGTTTTATACTGTGTGGATCTAGGGTGACCTCTTTAACAATAAGATCCATTTGGCCTTAGACTGTTTCCCAACATGAGAGAGAGAGAGAGAGAGAGAGAGAGAGAGAGAGAGAGAGAGAGAAAGGGAGAGGGAGAGAGGGAGAGAGAGAGGAGAGAGAGAGAAAAAAGATAAGGAGAAGGATAAGGAGAAGAAGAAGAAGGAGGAGGAAGAGGAGGAGGAGGAAGAGGAGGAAGAGGAGGAGGAGGAGGAGGAGGAGGAGGAAGAGGAGGAGGTTAAGGCAGGGGAGGAGGAGGAGAAGGAGGAGGAGAAGGAGGAGGAGAAGGAGAAGGAGAAACAAAGAAAGCAGGAAAGGAAGAAAGAAAAAGAAAGAGGAGGATGAAGAAGGAGGAAAGGAGAAGGGGGGGAGAGGTTAACTTAGTTTGCTGCCACCAGGGAGCACCAAAGACAACTTTATAGTGTGCAGGTTGGGACTTGAACATTTTCCTTATCTACCAGGTGTCGACTTAAATCTGTCTGAGCAGACTTCCATGCACCTTCGGCTCTCCATATCCACTCCTTTAAGGACTGTCAAAGTGGCCAGGCAGAGTGTGGGCAGTGGCAGCAGGCTGTGCACCAGGGCAGCGGAAGGAGGCAGCCTTGCTGGGAATCAGTGCCACAGGTTCCTTTGCCTTTGACCTGTGCCTCTGGGGCTCCACTCGGCCTCTGTCCCAGATCCCCAGGCCTCTGCATGTTGTTGCCTGGGGTTGTCCCTCTCACCTGCCACAGTGGATGGCCGCCTGAGTCCACCCTCTCTCAAAGCGTGCATCCATTCTTCTGCCATTTCGAATGTCTCCCTTCTCTCTGTCCACACTGCCCAAGCAGCATGTTGGCTACAACGGTCTCCTCCTGGTCTTCTACTCCACCTCCCTTCCATTCTCCACACTACACTCAGAGGCGCCTTCTGCAGTGGCACCTCGTTTCCTCTTTAGAACCCCTGTGAAGCTCCCCACCCCCAAAGCTGGCTTTTTGTGGTCTGGTGGCTGCTCACCTGCTCAGATTCATCCTTACCCACATTTCTTCTGCTAAGACTTCCTCCAGGTATCCACAAGTCTTCATCTCCCCTGAGCCCGTTTTCCAACCATACTAAAATAATTGCATTTCTCTAATTATATAATTTTTTCACTTTGACCTAGGCCAGTGATGGTGAACATTTTAGAGATGAGTGGTCAAATTGCGAAGCAAGACCCACTCATTTATGGCAAAGTGCTCACACGGCCATAATTAAACCTGAATACTGACGTTTCAGTTTAGGAAAAAATAACTCATACTATAACATCTTAAAAGAAAACAACACATGTGTCGTAAGCTTGCCACCATTGGCCTGGGCACTTAGGACACCTGCTGCCTAAAATATACAGCACCCTTCCTTCTATCCTCCCAGGACAGCCTCTGTAACTATCACCTTCCGCTAGGAATAAAGCTTACACATCATGTTCTCGCGATGTCTTCAGAAAGCCACACTTTAAGGCTGAGCTAGCTGCCCGCTTGGCGTCTGTAGTTCAGTAGTGGGCGTCCACCCACCTCTCCGCTGTACATGTTGTCTATTCCATGTTTCGCGCCGCATCTAGAACGGAATACAGTGCTTACTAAGCTCCTGGTAACTTCTTTTTAAGGGAATAGACTGAACTGCGCTCCTGGCCAGGGAGCTGCGCAAACGATGAGCTGACACTGGGTGGCGCTGTAGACACGTGCACTGGAGAGGATAGCGCATTTTCATCTTTTTGAGAGTCAGAAAGAGTCTTTTGGAGTCAGAAACATTTTGAGCAGTGCTGTGATGTCTGTGACAGCATGACTTCATGTCGGGAGAGAATTCTTGCTGCCTGATGCATTCACACAAACCTCAAATTTACAGCATTGCCCGTTTCCAGAGTCCTTAAAGAATCCTGCCTCCTCCAAAGCTGCAGTTCCTTCAAACTTTGTCTTCTGTTTAGCTTAAACGTGTGACTTTGATCTTAAAACTTATTAAGAGTCTAAGCTTCAAGAACTTGCTTCTCTGAGTCCTTCACACGCCCACTTTCTGCCCATATGCTTTGAAAATAGTGCAGAATGAGTGCTACTTGTTTGTTGATGAATTGAGTGACTGATTTGAAAGGATGGTTAATAAAAGCATTTCAAATGCCTTCGAAGCTTGGCAGAAGAGAATGTAATTTTTCCCCAAGCTTATCATATTAGATTCCAGAGGTAACTGCTTGTGTCATCCTTGGGTGGGGTCTGCCTCAGGGGGAGGAACAGACTAGGATTTTGGATTCCAGCATTTGTCTTACTTCCCATGAGAGATCACCATTAAATTGTGCTTTGAATTTCTTATTGATTATTTTGCAATGCGTTGTAGTAGAGAGAGCTCTGCTTGGGAATCGGCAGTCTGGTATTTTGGTGCTGGCCAGGACTTTTAGGCAGGTCACTGTGTCAACCTAGTCCTTTGTGCCTGCTGTGTTTTTAATGCACGCCCCAAAGTTTATGCGTTAGAAACTTAACCTACAATTTCATATGTCCTGGGTGTTTGCAGATGGGGCCCTTGGGGTATAAGTCATAGCATGGGATCTCCACGATGGAGCAGTGTGGCCTCGTAAGCAGAGGGCGGGAGACACATGCTTGCTTTGTCTGACGGGTGGAGTCCTCAGCTACAGAGCCATGCAGTGAGAAGGTGCTCACCACGTGCCAAGCAGATGCAGCACCATGATCTCGGGCTTCTCAGCCTTGACAACTGTGAGGCAAAGAAATGTCCTTTTTAAAAATAAATTACTTGCTTTTGAGTATTTTGGTACAGCAGCAGGAAAGGGTACAAGACAGTTTCTAATTCTGCAAAATGAGGAAGGGTTGGTGGATGATCTTGAAGGTCTGAGTGCTGAGTGAATGACAACGATCTGCATTGCTCTCGGCCATATGCAAGTTAACTGATGTCCCTGTACCCCCATTTCATTATCTGCCAAATACAGATAATCGTAGTAGCTGATACATTTTTAGCCCTTGGCTCACCCTTTTGTCAAGATGACTTTCAGACACAGTTTTTCATTTACTTATGTTTTGTTGTTGTCTTTTTGCGGCAGGGTCTCACTATGCAGTTCAGGGTGGCCTTGAGCTCACTTTGTAGCCCAGGCTGGTCTTGAACTTGCAACAATCCTCTTGCCTCAGCCTCCTGAGTGCTCATTTACTTATTTTTAAACTACAGGTAAAATTAAATCTATTAGCTGTGTTCAACATCATGTTTTGAAGTATGCATTCATTCTAGAATGCTTAAATCTAGCCAATTAACATGTTCTGGAGGATTTAAAAAAATCAAGGTGAAACTCACATAACACAAAGTTATGTGGCCCTCAGGGTAGGTGCCAGAATTTAGCCAGGGAGGGAAGCCTTGAGTCAAGGGCAGAATCGCTTTATCACCATCCTGTACTGCACCTTGAATGCTGTTCTTTGTACATCCTTCCTGCCCTCCTGCTCCTTGTTCTTTTCATTCATAAAGTAACATCTAGATCTCCATGTACTGTATCAGGGCATCCATGAGGATTAGTGATTTTTGGATTTGGAATGAAATTTAAAGATCATCTAACCCAGTGATGGCAAAGAGACTTAATGACAAACTGCAACCCCAAACTCACTTATCTATCACAAAGTGCCAACATTGTACTAAACCTTAAGTACTAAGACTTTAGGTTAGAAAAAAGCCTCAACATTAACATCTTTTATCTTAAAAACAATAATATGTATGCCATAGGCTCACCAACCATGATCTAACCCACCTCTTCTGCTTAACAAAGGAGGAGAATTACAGGCCTTGAGATTGGCTCACTTGTCAGGAGGGGTAAGTTGAAGAAGCAAGACTAGAACAAGGGTCTCTAACTTCCCAGCCTAGTACTCTTTTCACTAATGAGAGAGTCTGAGAACTCACGTCTTGTTAGCCAGGCCTCCTAGGAGGTAGCACATTACTATACTAACCTCTCTCCTGTTTCTGAATGTTCAAAACACACACACATGCACACACACACACACACACACACACACACACACACAAGCAAACTGAAGAAAAAGGGAAATATATATAGTATGTATTTACTCTTATTTGTTTCTGAGCTGAGACCCTTATTAGGTATGAATGGACACTAATTGTTAGTCAAAGAGCTCATACTAGTTTCTAGGTAAGATCAGTAAGCCTTAAATTTTGAGTCTCAGTGAAGACAGAAATAACAAAAATCAGTGTTTAGATAACAGAGAAGAACAGTCAGTGTGGGGTGAAGGGACTATGGAGAATTCTAAATAAAAGGATACAGCATACGTCATTGATTCAAAAGACTGCAGAGTAATGAACTTTTTTATGGAGGGCAGAGGGCTTCAGAAAGGTCAAAGTACATTGTGAGATGGCTGTGTTTTAAAGCTCGGATCCAGGCTGAAGAAGGTAGATGTACTTAGGACTAGATAAGTGAGTAATAACCATGCCGGGCACAGTGGCATAGCTAAAAATTGGAAATTCTGGGAGGTACGGGACGATTCTTGGTAGATGAAGACAGAACATGCTGGAAACTTTCTTCTGAGTGATGTTGTTTGCCTGCCCAGCTAGAGGCAGTGGTGAGCCCTGAGCTGCAGTAACCTGCTAAGCTTTCTCCCCTCAGATGGCAGGGACGGCACGCCACGACAGAGAGATGGCGATCCAGGCCAAGAAAAAGCTCACCACCACCACTGACCCGGTTGAAAGACTCCGACTGCAGTGCCTGGCCAGAGGCTCTGCAGGCATCAAAGGACTTGGCAGGTAAGAGGTGGATGTCAGGGAGGTGTGGGAAAGCGGGAGATAGCCAAGTGAGGCTAACATTAGCTACGTGATCCTGAGCAGGGAATTTCTCTTTAGGGCCTCATTTCTCATTGGTGAAATGCAGAGTTTGGAAAAGTTGTTTTCTGAGGTTTTTTCTGACATTTTTTGATTATTAATTCCAGGTTCAGCCAAGCTGTTTTCTGTTATAAGGTTGGGCAGCTCCTTGGATAGTTTTAAGTTAAAGAAGAAGCATGATGCAGAAATACAGACACAGGGCAGGACAGTGAGAAAGGCATTCCCTGAGCGGTGATAAGAGGCTGGGATGAAAGAGGGAGGGAAGAATAGTGATTTAGCTGGCCCTGATCTCAGAACTTGGAGTTCTGCTCCTGAGCAGTCATGTGTAGTTCAGCTCTAGGGGCGCTAGAACTGCCTGTGGGATCACTGACAACTCACCTCCAACAGGGTTTTACAAAGAATTGATTCATTTTCCATAACAGTACAGTTTACTTGTAAGTTAATTTATTCATTCATTCATTTATTCATTCATCCAGCCAGTCAACGAATATTGATGAAACAACTGCTTTATCGGTGAATATTGATAAAGTAATAAAATACTGATAAAGTGATAAACAGGAAGTAAATAGAAGAGTCAGGGATTCTGTTCTCCTGGAGCCAGTACTCGAGTTTATGCAAAGTGCTATTGTTTGGTAAATAAAGTGTTAAATGCTAAGGAGTAAGAATCCATCATTTTTCATGTAATTACAGATAAAATTGTAAGATAATTTGAAAATTATACATTATTTTAGCATTAACAGGGAACTAATAACCAGTATAATTTCTTACACAAAAGTGAGGCCCGGAAAATTTAAAACTTATAACCAAATTTACACTGGTAGTTTTAACAGTAGAACTGGAATTCACACCCTGGCTTCCTGAGCACTTACTGGGAATTTTTTCTAACTGTTAAAATGCCAACAAAACAGAAAATTCCCAAGGATGCTCGGAGGGTAGTGGTAGATGGTGGAGGAGGAGGCATATGTGGCAAAGAATAAGATAGTAGGATATGATGAGATTGATGGTAGGAACTTACATATTACAATTAAACACAACCTAGGGGCTGGGGATTTAGCTCAGTGGCACAGTGCTTGCCTGGCAAGCTCAAGGTCATGAGTTTGATTCCTGGTACCAGAAGAAAAACAAAAAACCAAAAAACCAAAAACAATTAAACACAAATCAGAAGATATATTCTTTCTGTCATAGAAAAGAATAGGGGAGCACTTGTCTGGAGATGATTAGGCACAGCTGGAGATAATAAAGCAAGCTTCCTGTAGCTAAAACAGTATCTGCACATTTAGGCATTCAGTGGATATATGCTTAGCACAATGAGAAGCCATGTTAGCACTCTATGCTAGGTTCTACAGACTTTATTTAAAGATACAATAAAATAAGTTTTTCTATGTCCTTATCTATATTTTCTGCTTTAATTGGGAGATTGAAAAGCTTTGGGTCTTTGGGGTCTATTAGCAAAGTTGGGTGTCTGAAAATGTTATATACGTTGTTACTATCTCTATATTACTGCAACAGTGCACCTTAGACGAACAGCTTATAAGGAGGAAAGGTTTATTTTGGCTAATGGTTTCACAGGTTCAAGTCCATGGTCACTTTACCCCACTGTTTTTGAGCCTGTGGTGCAGGCAGTAGATCGTGGCAGGGGGTACATGGTGGAGCAAAGCTACTCACCTCATAGCAGCTGGGATGCAAAGGCAAAAAAGTGGATCCAGAGTACTAAAGGTACACCCCCAATAACCTAACCTTCTTTCACTAGGCTCCATTTAGTAAGGGTACCACTAATTCCCAGTAACACCACAGGCTGGTGAACAGGCCTTTGAACTCATGGGCCATCAGGAGGCATTCAAGACATAAGCTATAGCACATGTCACATAATTAGAATCATACAGTGCAATTGTATGTGTGCATGTGTGCATACACATGTGTGTGTGTTTAAAGGTTTGTTCTTCATGAGAGGCTGACAAGAGGCTCTCCAGTTTTAGTGGTGGTGGTGCAGAGAAGAATCTAGACTACTGAAACTTTAATAAATCTTTGAGAGTGATTTTTTATTTAAATCTTCACATCTACACCTTGTCCTTTGTGGTTTTTCTTTCTTTCTGTGTGTTTTCGTCAGGGTGTTTCGAATTATGGATGACAACAACAACAGAACTCTTGATTTCAAGGAATTTCTGAAAGGGTTAAATGATTATGCAGTGGTTATGGAAAAGGAAGAGGCAGAGGAGCTTTTCCGCAGGTTTGATAAAGATGGAAATGGGACCATAGACTTCAATGAATTTCTTCTCACGTTAAGAGTAAGTGACCGTGTGAATCAGTGTTATTTGGTGAGTTTGGCTTTCACGTGGTTTGGGTTGGCTATTATGAGGTTTTGTTTTTAGAGGTTGTCAGTACACTGTGGAAGGGGTGGCAAGTGACTGCAAACAAACTGAGACTGTGTGGGGCAATCGTAATTCATCTCCTTTAGCGGCACACAAACAATTTCACATCATTGAGGGGAAAAAGAAATGCTACGGCATAAGAGATGAGGAAAGCTCATTTGCATGTGTGTGGTGTCTGTGTATGTGTTCTTCTGTTTGTCTAGCCTCCAATGTCTAGAGCCAGAAAAGAGGTAATTATGCGAGCTTTCAGAAAGTTAGACAAGACTGGAGATGGTGTTATAACAATTGAAGACCTGCGTGGAGTATATAATGCAAAACACCATCCAAAGTACCAAAATGGAGAATGGACAGAAGAGCAAGTCTTCAGGAAATTTCTGGATAATTTTGATTCACCTTATGACAAAGATGGACTGGTAAGTTAAAAAAGACTTTAAATAAAATTTCTGCTACTTAACTTGAATTGCACATGTGAAACAAGTCTAAATTCTTAAAGCTCTCAACATATCAATCTCATATTTGTTATAGAAATACAATATTTCTATAGAGACCATCTAGAGAATAGGAAACTAAAATATATGATAAAATATATGAGTCATACCCACACAGAGACACAGACACATACAGTATGTAGGTAGGGGGTCCACCGCTAAGTACTCATCCTGTGGAAAATGTGATACTTTGATTAGACACTCCATGTCATGACTACCGCATTCAGCATATTTTGCTAGTCACATTCCCCAAAATGAAACTATGATAAAATATGTTTAGCTTCAAAACGAGACCACAGTTTGCCTTTTATAACAGGTTCGCAGCATACATTTATCCTTTTCAGCATCAGTTGTCATCACACGTTGCTATGTACAAATGTCTTTTAAAGACCGCTTTTGGTAAAGGGTGTGCCAGCCAACAGAATTCACCTTTATTGGTTTTTTAGTATCCTTTAAGATTAAGTTGCATTTCTAAATTACGGTGAATTTGAAAATAAAAGCAATCACTCTATCCTCATTAATAGTTGATTACAAAGGCATAGCCTGATAAGATAAGGAATTATATGTCCATCATTGAATCTAGGATGAGATGAAAATGTCATGTGTTTTTTTAATTAACACTCATAAGTGGACTTTCCTTAAACCCAAAGCCAGTTCTGCCCTTAGGTGAGTGGTCTACGAGGAATGGTGATGGAAGAAAGGGGTTTTCTCGTTAGCCTCAATCAACAGTGGAAGAACCCCGGGTGGGTTATCTCTTAACACCTCAGTCACACTGGAAAGGAAACATGGGACAGTGGGCAGGAAGAACAGGTGGTGATCTGAGGAAGATGGAATAATCCCTGTCTTATTTTGAAAGAAATTCTCCCCAACTTTTTTTCACAAAAGTTTATGACTAGTCCTATTGTAAAGAAACCTTTCTTTCCTTCCTGTTGACATTTTCTGATCAGGGATGGAGAAGTACCTTATAATTCAGCCTGAGGAATTGTGCAAAGGGGACCTAGATTTGATAGGGCAGCTGAATGCTTAGACAGAAATCACAGAACTGTATGTTTTCTTTTAGTACTGCTGGCTTTTGATCTCTGCAACATCAGTGGAAAAATAGCCAACTGCCATTTCCCCTATCTAGCCGAACTCTGTGTGGATCCCAGGACAAGCTTTCTTCCTCCTGCAGGTGGTTCCTCCTCACTCCCAGGGGAACTTCAGCTACTCAACTTCTAGCTCAAATCAAAGTAGCTAATTGTTGTGATTCAGATGGTTTAAAATCCTCACTCCTGTCCCTTTTGACATTTATCTTAATCAGCCATGTTAATCTCTCAAAAGGTTATTGAGGTTTTTCACAATTACAGAATTTGATGTCACTTGAATATCACAGACCCAACCCTGCAGTTTTTGATCATCATTATCAGGTATATATGAATAATTCAGATTACTGGATGCTCTGAGGAATCACAGAATATGACATTTATGGGGTGGAACCCAAAGATTTCTGTATTTAATAAGTGTGGTAGTTATCTCTTATATACATTCATATTTGAGAATTTAACTCTAAAATATTCAGAAATGCCTGTTTTTAAATTACTAAAAGTAATATGCACATGAGCCTCATTTAACATAAAAATGAATCTGAACAGTTATTGGGTACTTATCAACCAAGCATTATTTTTGCAATGAGGCTTGTAAATTGTTTATGGTAGGTAGCTTTATTATTAGTATTGAAACCTTTTTAGGAAATGGCGGCTTTTCAGAGATGTTGTCTAGGTGTAGCTCAGTTTTGGCTTTTGAATCTGTTCCACAGTCCTGCCTCTTCAATTTTTTAGGGATGAAGTGTTGCTGCCTATTTGACCGAGCACCCAGTTTTTTTTTAACTGGACTACAGTATTGCTTATGACCCCTAGATATTTAAGGTGTTGGCATACAAGGACGATCAACTGATCACATCACCTTGGCTAATGTAGTACAATCAGTAATAATATTAGCATCAAGCACAGACTAGAACCTGATGAACTGTGATAACTATTAATTTGTCACTTCTAACTATAGGTATAAGATTTATGGTTACATATCAAGACTAAGGACAAATAAAAAAGTTACATACAGTAAATATCAATGCAGTAGAGTGATTTTACCCCAAGGGGAGAAAATTTAAAAGGGATAAAAGGAAAAGATGCAGAAATAAAAGAAGAGTAATAGATTAGAAGCAAAGGTAAAGAACAAAGGAAGATTATCCAAGCTTCAAAAATCTCAAGAAGAGGACAGCAAAATAAAAAAACTAAAATCAATGTTCACACTCATGAAAAAAACAAGAAAAAACCCAATAAAGATAAAATACATAGATTTCTTTGTAATTTCAAGCCTGTGGTTGTCTTCTAAGGTCTAGAGCTTTGTGGTAGTTTCTAATCCAGGGTGTGAGTCTGCTCTTTCTGGTAGACAAAGGAAGAAGTCAGAGCTTAGATCTGTGCTGGATTATCCCAGCAAGCCTACAGTAGGATCAGGAAATTGTGCTGAATAATCCTAGCAAGCCTGAAGTAGGATCCTGTTCTGGTACTTTCACATCCACAGAAGTTCAGGCTGACCCTGTCTTCTGGTCATGGATTTGGGGCCTGAGTCATCCAGCCTACAACACTCTGGGTGTCTCTTGCTGGCTTGACCATGACTCCTTGACCCTAGATGCCTTCCACAGTTGTCCCTCACCTAGTCACTGTGGGATTTCAAAACTGGCAGCCCTGAGATGAACCCAACCCATGGCTACTCCAAGTCCTAGGTTCAGTTGGCTTCTCCATAAAGTGATGTCTGACCAAGCACTGTCTCTGGGGACACAGCAGTATCTTAGACTGGAGACACTCACCAGCTATTGTAGGGTGAGTGCTGCTCCACTCACTGCTCCATTCCACTGTGTGTTTCTCCCTGGAGGCCTCTGGAGTCCCCTATCCTCACAGTGTCTCTGTAGATTTGATCCTCCTCTCTCAGGATAAGTGCCAGGAGCTGGAGAGAAAATGCAGATTGCCCCTTCCTTGTTCTGCACTGAAGTTTGTCTCTTGACTTTCTCTGTGGGCTCCAATTATCCTTCCAGACCTTTCCTGGGTCCTGGGGGTCTAATTCCCTCTGATTTTTCTTCCCCAAGTTATTATTTTCTGATGTCTGGATTCTGAATCTTGGAGGGGTTAATTTGTTAATGCTTACTGATCCACCTTCCTAGAAATCTCATTAACTAGGAATTATGATAAAAATTTTATAAGGAGTATTGCATTTAGTAAATATAATAAAAATAAAAATATTTATGAAAAGTGAGTGAAAATTTTGTGCTTTGAATTATAGTTTATGTAGGAAGTTGTTAATATAGTGGAGCTCTATGAAAAATTCTTTTATAGAGAGAATAAGGGCTTCTATCGATATGTTATTTATTTGCTTTTATATACCACTGGTAAGCACAGCCCCACAATTGCCTCAGTCAGTCCAATGCTTTTCTTCCTAATCCCTTTCACATTTGTGGAGTTAGTGTTGGGGGTGGAGCCAGTCCAAGAAAAGCAACCATGGATCTTTTAACAAAAAGAAAGGCGTCAGTGAGCTCCTATGATTCTTGAAGAAGATGGGTATGTTTCCAAAGACTTGGCAGGAGAAAAGTGTGTTGCCATGGGCTAGAAAGATGTTCTCAGGCAATTGTGGATTTCCCTTCCCGTGATGTTAGAGCTGAAACTTGAGGGCTCACTAGAGAAGAAGAATTTCCCAAGCAGCCACCATCATTGGGGCTGCATCCTTCTACATAAGCAGCTCCATTCTTTGAGCAAAATTAGCCATAGAGGTTAGTCAACCAGGAGGACAATTCTTCCCCTGGCTCAATTAATTGTATCAGCCAAAGTCTTGACTTGTAATGGACTTATCACTCACATTTATTAGCACATAAGTTTCATAACATTTTTAGACTATTAATCACCAGTTTAGTGTCAGACACATAATCATACATGTTTAACAGAAAAACTAGAAAACTAGTTAACTAGTTTAACTTTAACTAGTAAAGTTAAAACAAGTTTTATAACTTTAGGAAATTCTTTCCAGTCAAGGATTTAGCTCAGCAGCGTGAGCTGGTAAGCATGAGGTCATGAGTTCAATTCCTGATACCAAAAACCAAACCAAATCAAACCAAAACACAAAAACAAAACATTCTTTCTAACCTGAAAGTAATATAAAATCCTAGCATAGGAGAACACACTCCTTGATATCTCAGATTAACTCTCATAGGTGTAGAGTGGAGATGGAACTTGGGGTGGGGTGGGGGGAAGAACAGGAGGTAACGTTTCGTTCACTCTGAGCATGGAATGAGTAATCTGTCTCTTAGAAATGAGTATAAACCAGGCGCGTTTGATCAGAAATCTATTTCTTTACCCGTAGGGCTGTACCCTGTTTTTTGAAAAGTGGAACACGACTTACACTGACGCATGGCACTGTATATTCCTGTTGTGCCACAGGAAGACAGTGTTAACTACACCGAGAGAACACTAAGACTTTCAGCCTTACTCACTGAAGGGATGAACCCCTGTTTTAAAGGAAAGATGACAACTTGTGTCTCATTTTCCATTTAGGCTGGTTTGGACATTTTCAAGACTTTTTTCTCCTTTCCTGAGCCACTCTCACTGCCATCCTCAATTTCACTTACTTTTTCTTTACTTTTAGTTCTCCCCTCAGTCGCCATCCCACACAAAGCCTCTTTGATGGACATTTCCCTTCTGTTTACAGAGACGAAAGATGGGCTTCTGTTGCAAGAGGGAGAAGAAATGTTTCGTCTTTGTTTCAAACTTTTCTCCTGCAGGTGACCCCGGAGGAGTTCATGAACTACTATGCGGGTGTGAGTGCATCCATTGACACTGATGTATACTTTATTATCATGATGACAACTGCCTGGAAGCTCTAAAGGCATCACTTCGGGAGAC